TCTTGAGTCAAGATGTGATAATCATGTTGCATTCCATGTAATCTCTATCGTACTTGGGTCTAATTTATTATACCCCCCCCCCCCACAAGGTCAGGAATATTGTCTCATTGAAATTACAGTCTGCAAACCGTGCGGTGAATAAGTCACAAGTCATCGGCTCGAGATATTTTATTATTGAGGGAGATTCAAAACCAACATAGATTCTCAACCTTCTTTGAGGACCCATTGTTGTACAATGAGGTGGAGCAATCAGAACATAAACAACACAAAATCTTCATGGGTGCTAAGTTTGGCTTTTGTTTTAACTAATTGCATTGAGGAATATTCGTGATATGCAGTTGGTTTAAGCCAAACTAAATTTGTTGTATGTAAAATAGCATGTCCCCAAGCTGATGAGGGTAAATTACACTTCATCAACAATGGTTTGACGATTAACTGTAATCGTTTAGTCAAAGATTCGGCAAGACATTTTGTGTGTGGACATGAACAATAGGGTGCTCCACATCAATCCCAAGTGACATACAATAGTTGTTAAATGATTGAGATGTAAATTCTCATAAACTATGAAGTCGGATTCTCTTTATAGAATTATCCGGAAAGTGAGCTATTAATCATATAATTTGAGCAAGGAATTTAACAAATGCTAAATTATAGTCTATAAAAGACTAACATGTGACCAACATGTTGAAGCATCAATCGACATTCGACACCATAAAATATCTAAATGGTCCACATGGTGGGGCTATCGGCTCACAAATATCTCCTTGAATCCTTTCTAAAAATGCAGGTGATTCAGTTGTAATTTTGTTCGTAGAAGGCTTGATGCTTATTTTGCCAACAGATCAGGTCTTGCATGAAAAATCACTTTATAATGAAACCCTTATATTCTTTAATGGGTGTCCAAGTGAAATCTTGATAATTTTACGCATCATTACATGGCCTGGGTGACCTAAAGGATCATGCCACTACATAAATGTTTTCTGGTCATCTAACTTTGTGTTAGATACCATATGTATTTGAAATGGACTTATATATGTGAAATATAGTCCCCAGATATACGTTGACATTTTTCGCAAATATATTTAGTGCCAGACATAGTTGTCATAAGACAATGATATTTCTTTTGATTTTCATTCATGGTTTCTATGTGATAAATGTTAAGACCTGGGGTTTCATCCTAAAAGGTCAACCTTATAGGAGGAGTAGCCCAAAGCCTTATATAGTGTTTAATTGTTTTATAGCTTTCCGGTGTGAGACAAATGCTTTAACAATAAACCATATCGACACATATTTTTGAAACTCAATAAATTTCTCCGCAATTTGCTAGAGTATAAAACATCATTTATAATTAATCTTGTCCCATTAGGGAGCATCACTATGTTTTCCCTACATTCAATGAGCTTCACGACACCTGATATTGTATTGACTTAACTTCAATTAAAGTCATTTGAGAAAACATATATCTCAAAATGGTGTTCGTTGTATCGTTGTCTATTAGGCATAATTTTTTTTTATCATTTGAGTTATTCATATCTTCAATATATGTAAATAAACATAAGTTTGATATGTAGATATTACAAATTTGTATCAATTTCAATTTCACAGTAGCTATAGATGCGATTAAAAGTATGATTGTTATTCTACTATTTTAGTAATATATAAATAACACATATATAGTAAAACATATTGATATAAATTATCAAGGGTTGACTCCACATGATTTTATTCAGATATTATTTATACCACATTTAAGGCTAAATGGTCAAATAGGCCCCTGTACCGGTCGTGTAAGCTCAATTCAGTCACTGAACTAAAAAAAAGTTCAATTCACACCCCAAACCGACAAAAAATGGTTCAAATGTCATTTTTTACAGGTAAACAACCAGTCATTTTTTTAATTTTTTTAACTGTTTCTGTTTTTTTCAATTTATTGCAACTTTGACATATTTTAATAGTTTAGGGGTGCAAATTGGACCTTTTTTTACCGATTGTTTAACCGTAAAAATGAAATTTGAACCCATTTTTGCCGTTTCGGGGTGTCAATTAGACCTTTTTTTTAGTTCAGGGACAGAATTGAGCTTACATGACTGATACAGGGGTCTATTTGACCTTTCAGCCCCACATTTAATTATTGATAGATGATACCATTGTTCTAAAAATCACTTTGGGCACCCGACTAGTCCCTGCCTAGGCACTAGGCACTAGGCAGTGGCCGGACACCCCGATTTTAGTCTAGGCGCCCGACTAATTGGTTCGGCGCCTAGGTGAATTAGTTGATTGCCTAGGGCACTTAATTACCCGCCAAGAGCGCTTAATCGGCCGCCTAAGACATCATATTTTGCCGAGCTTTTTTTTCCTTTTTAGTTTATTTATCTAAAAGATATATGTACCTTTAACTTTAACCACACATATGAAGAAACGTACTTGTAGATTAAGATAAAAACTATTCATATTTGTATAAATTCTTAAATGTTATTATTTTTTAATTTAATACTAGTATTTATTATATAGTGAAGTTTTTTTACTATAACAATATATATATATATATATATAGTGAAGTTTTTTTACAAAATTATATAATAAAGTTAAATGAGTAGGTATAACAGATGATTCAATGTGACTATTCTATCATTATTGCATGTTAATGTGTATGTGTGTGTGTATTTTTAAATGGGAACACAATATTACTCATCCCCCGCATAGGCGCTAGACGTTGGATTGATGCCCGACTAGCGCCTAACGCCTTTTAGAACATTGAATGATACAATTCTTATATTATTATCATCAATTATTCGCATGCATAAACATGCATGGGACATGTACATATCTTTGGTATCTCTACGGAACTCCAATTCACAGAAACGGAGCCAGCAATTTATTTGATTGGTGTCAACTTTTTTAACTAAATACAACTTCTATAATGCGATATTAAAAATAAATTTATTGATAATTACACGTCTTCCATAATTTTTTAGTCAATTTTCAGGTTTTTAAACAGGGAAAATAACTTTTCATGATACTCCCTACGTCCCGTTGAATACAACTTATGTGATGAACTGATGATCAAATATGATGCTTTTATAGGTATAATGACCCGGTTCGATGTCAATTATTTTTGAACTAAATATATACATCCTACGTATATATTTGACTTAAAAAAAATTTTTTAAAAAAATATTTCTTAAATAAACTTATTTACAAAAATATCACTAAAAGTTACAATGGTATAGTGTCATGATTACTACATATAAGACATCACTTCTATAAAGAACTTTTATATTAGTTATAAATATCTAATTATTACATATATTTATACTTTGACCCTCATTTCATTTAACGAGGTCGTGTTAAATGATTTCTTAGACTAAAATACCTTTATACATAACTGATATTTTTTGGAGAAGTGTCAATTGACAATATTTCATTTATGTTGGTGGTGTCAAATTAGTTTTTAGAAAATTTACATTTATATATATAACAACACAAATTATTTGAGTGGTGTCAGTTGACACCACATCCGTACATGTGGCTCCGTCCGGGCCAATTCGGCTGTTGATGTATATTTTGATTTTATTGATTTGTTAACAATTATCTTGTATAGGCTGTATAGTAGCTATCATGCATTTGTGTATGAAAGTAATTTGACTTGTCTCGTTAGATATTAACTAAAATCCAAATTTGATTGTTGAATGTGTCATTACTTGGGATTTGAGTATAGTAAAGTGCAATGGTGACACTTATTTTGAGACAACTCAAAAAGAAAAGTAGGACATGTAAATTGAGATTTGAGACAGAGGAAGTATTATATTAAATAATAAATGTCAATAGACACTGAGAATTTTTATAGAATCGGGTATTGCTATGATATTAATAAAAACAAATTAATATGTATGCTAATATTTTGTTGAGGTATGAGAATGAATATTCAAAAGATTTAATGTGCATTAGTCATTGTGGGCTTGAAAATGAATGAAATTATTAATGATAAGGGACCAGAATCCGAATTAGTTAATTGCCCGATTGGTGTTTCGATGTGTGTAGTCTGAGAGTCGAATGATATTTAATCGATCTTACTTCGTTTTTTTTCAATTTAACAATTGCAAACCATTTTGCAAGAATTTTTAGCAATTTGGTTTGAAGTGTTAATTCCTGAACTTAATTAATAAACAATAGGGAGTAATATTTTTTTTATTAACAAATTGGAACTACCATTCAACAAAATTGTTTTAGCGGTGTTATCTATTTTTGCTTTGATTTGAAGAGTAACATCCAAATTTATAGAAATTGCTTTAGGGGCTTTATCTATTTTGTTTTGAATTAGGAAGTAACCTCCAGGGGTTTAAAATATTGGAATGGATAGTTTTTTAGGTTCTTGTAACTCTCTCCAAAACACTTCAGATGATTTAATTTTTCAGTTCTCTCAAATTGAGAGTTTTTGAAAGATAACAAATTAAATGATAATTTTAGCTGAACTCAAAATGAATATAAGTTTAGCTAATATACATTTAAAAAATTTTAATTGTGATTCCTTTGTAACCCCTCACCTTAAACTCCCAAGTATACCTTTAGATGTCTTTCATATAAAAAATAAAGTAGAAACAAAGTAGAATTCAATTCAGTGTTCAAAATAGTTATTATCTAACCAATAAAAAATATATGAAATTGGCAATTACATCTTGAAAATATAATGTAAGTATATACTGTTTGATATAATAAAACTAAGTTATAACACAATATTGACGGAAGTGAAGTGATACCAAAAAAGTTTGTTAATATTGAAATTAGCTGAATTGTCCGAATCTGCTTAAATTGATGAAAATCAAATTGAATTAACTGAATGTGTTTAATTGTGAAAAAAAATTAAAATGTATTTTATTAGTGAAACAAAGATAAAATTATGAAATAATTATAAATTTATGACTAAGATAAAGAGTGTTCAGAAAAAATGTAACATCTCAAGTGTATTGACTATAATAGTCATTTGAAATAGAAGTTTGTATGTGAGTACATAGCTAAAATCATATTAGTGACTACATCTTAAGGGTAGTGACTTTAATAGTGACTATGACATTTTGCAAAAAGAAGTGATTTTTTTTTTTTTTTATAAGTGAATTTTTATTAAAAAAAATTAGTAATAAAAAGTACATCCGCTAATGAATGTAGTTATTGAAAGAAATTGCTAATGAAAACATAAAATTAATGAGGAAACCAAAACAACCCAAAAAGAAGCCCGCTGCCCGCCGAAGATAGACAACACCAGCAAGATTCCAAAGAGCTAGCCAACCCCTTTGTAGATCACAATAGCACAACAGAACTACCCACCAACCTCATATTTAGCTTGAAGTCGAGCGCTTCGTCTAAGCAAACTTCGAGGTGCTATCTTGTAGTTAGGATCACTTAAACGATCTAGCAACTTTTGATCTGGTAAGGGCCTTCTTACTGGCGTAATACAATCCTCTCTCGGTGACTGTGGATCGCCCATGATAAATTTTTGTTTGCTTTGCGCAGGGAAAGAGACCTGAATAGGTGATACTTCCATGACGTCTCCAACATCACTTTCGTCCTCCCCATCTACCCTAACCTTACCCACCTCACAAGGGACGATATCCCTTCTACTGTTTTCAGTGACAGGAGGAGAGAAGCAACCAATATTAAGCAAATCTGCCTGGAAAAGTAAAGAAGAAATAGACTCAAAACTATTCGAAACAGATTTCACGGTATCAACAGAACATACATCAACACATTCCACCAAACTCTTGGATAATAAAGACCCCTTATTGGCATTTTCCAAAATTTCCAAATGGCTTAATAGAGTAGAATGGAAATGTTTAGTTCCTTCGCCCCTCCAACCATCAGGGATAATAAGAGTAGATCTACTTTGTGTGCCGATAGCCTGTAGTCGAGTGAATCTGCCAAAGCAATTCGCTTCAAAAGATAAGAGAAGCTTACAATTTTTTTCATACCTAGTGAAAGTCCAGGAGGTTTCAGATTGAATTTTGCATAAGGCATAGCATAACCAACGGACTCCATCCCTGTCTAATGAAATAGAGCAATTTTGTTTCTCCTTATATTGGCTAATTCGTAGAAGTGAGGACTGCACCTGAAATTCAAAAAATTTGCTTTCAATTCTTATAGTACCACCTCCCTCTGTTAATGGTTCCTTAAACCCATCTGAACGTTCCCTGAGCCATTTATCTGCCTCCTCTCGAGTTGAAGCTGCCGTTTGCCCTGAGCTTTCTGGAAATCGCGACCACGAGGACCCCCACGACTTGAGCCCGCTGCAATTAGCCACTGAAGCACCAGAAAAATGGCCGCAATGGCTGCACTTAGCCAATGAATTGCCTGCAATCCGACCTTGTTTCTGCTGACCATAGTAGCGTCTATCAAAAAACCCATGACCTGAAAAATTACCTTTCTGCCACAGCTCATTGCTGCCGGTCCACCACCGTCGCCGAGATGGCTCGCCGCCACTCCACCGATCATCCGATCCTGCACAGCCGCTCGAATGGAACCCTAACCTGCACGCATCCGTATGATCTGCTCTGCACTCAATTCTCCTGCCATAGATGCAACATGATTGGTCAGATCTCCATCTTGGCGTTGATGGATGTTGCTGTGGATGAAACCCACCAGAAGGCCTGCCGTGAAGTCTTCGCAAATTATATCTATCGGAAACCCTCTCAAACCCCATTTGATCGCAAAAAGAAGTGATTATATTGTGACATTATACTTATGATATCCTTAATCATATTAACTGTAAATTAAATATGTTTTATATTAGTAATATTTTCGAAAAACTATAGGTTTGTATGTGAGTATATAGCTAAAATAGTCATCTTCGGCAATTCCCTCCAATTCGGCTAGAAAAGTAACCCTAATCTTACTTATCTTGATTATTACATAATTCAATTCGCGAAATAAAAAATTACATGTTTGATATAAAAACTAACAGGATAAGGTTGATAAGCCGAATATATAGGTTACCAATGAGCTTTTTATTTATGTATTAATTATTTGGTATGAAAGGAAGAAGAGATAGGAAGGAAAATAAATTACAGGATTAAGAGCCTGTTTGGTGACTCTGTTTCTCGGCTAATCAGTCTTAGTAGCCAACTTTTTTACCAAACACGTAACTTTTGATTTCGCCCACTAAAATATTTAATAATAAATATAAGTAAGGTTGAAGTTATTTTTCTGACTGAATGAGTTGAAGTTACTGCAGAGAAGACTATTTTAGCTAATTTCGTATAATTTTTCTTTATTCATTAATGAAATGTAATCAATCAATCATCAATCATCATTTACCCCAGTGCCGCAAAGGCTCCCACCTACGGTTGGGTAAGGAGGGTCGGATGTACGCAGTTTTACCCCTGTACTAAAGCACAGAGAGACCGTTTCCGGATGACCCAAAATGAAAATCGCGTCCACAATTGCATGGACTGACTGCTGCTTCATAATAAAGAAGAGCAGACAATTTGGTGAGCCATTTTGCTTTATTCCATCATATTCTCAAGCCAAAAAATAATGTATCTTTGGCTCCATTGGAAATGATGGAAAATTAATGAAATGTAATAAAATTAAAAAATTTCTTTAATTAGCAGAATCCGCCAATCCATTCACTTCAACCAGAACTTCATAAATTTCAGTAGAATCAACTGATTCAACCAATTTTAGTGTCATCCAATGGACTTTAAGAATGGGAAGAAATTAATAAGTGACTGAAGTTTTAGAGGCATATGATTAGGATTTTTTCTTTTGGACTGAAACTTGCTGGTCTGATTTGGTCTGGTCTAGTCTATTTAAGTCTGCTCTAATCTGATCTGGTCCGCTAAACACCTAGTCCATGTGTATTAATTTAATAACTGTCCAAGTTTGGTCTGGTCTGGTCTGGTCTGATTTGTTTAAGTCTGGTTCGGTCTGATTTGTTTAAGTCTTGTCTGATGTGGTCTGGTCTGAGATTGAAAACAGTCCAAAAGATAACACAGTCTTGTATAATATGCATGGATTACTTGTTTTTCTTTTTGTGAAGGCTCTTATTTTTCATTTTTTGTTAAAGAATGAAGTGTTGTACTAGGTATGAATTAATATTAGTAGTACTTGGTGAAAGAGTCCAAATTAAAAATTATGACCGAACGAAGGAGCGTCTTGGCTGCTATTGAAGAGTTTTCTTTAAAAAAAAATGCTATTGAAGAGTCCCAAAGCAAATGAATTACGTAGTATTAATTGATTCATTAAATGCTACATATCATAAAAGTTTTATTTTGTTAAATAATATATTTGTTAACTAATCATTGAATGACACATCAGCATTTTATAACTCAGTTTTACTATATAAAACAATAGATTTGAATTACATACTCTTAAGAATCTTGGAATATTTATGACCTTAACAATATTATCTTGAATAGTTTATTTAGGATCCATGCTTCTCCTTATATTTAGCCAGGGCCGGTCCTCAGAATTCGGAAGCCCTGTGCAACGAAAAAAAATTGGGCCTTTTTTCCCACGTTCCAAAGGCAAGTGATTTTTATTAAACTACAAGTTACTTAATAAGCACAATAATAAAAATGAAAGTAGTCATTAATAAAATACCTATTATTCAGGTTCTTCCATAATCCTTTCATGTTTTAAAAAAAAATAGGTTAAAATTAAATTTACATTATTCAAATTCTTAATTGAATAATTTTTAAACACACGTATTCTCAATTCAATTACTTAATAAGTAATAAATTATCTATTAATATCTAAAGGAGTAGTTTTTTTGTGAATAGTGTTCCCTCCCATTTGTGTCAACATCAGGTTTTATTGTAATTTTTCATCAAAAATAATTGTAAAATAAATGTTTTGTAAAGATGAGTTCACTCAAGAAATTTATACGTAGTATTTGTTTTTCAGAAATTCAAGATTTAGTGAATAGGATCAAATCAAGGATGTTGTATTGCTATTGGTCTAGAAAAAGGTGGGATGGTGCGCATTAAAGTTCCAATTGGCTTACAAAAAGTAGAGCACTGTTCACAAAGAAGAAATGACAATGATTGGCTTTTCCTATTGGTTAAAAAGGAGGTGACACTATTCATCATGACAATAATTTCACATAGCTCAAATGGATGTATTCCTATTGGTGCAAAAAGGAGGTGGTACACAGGATCAAAGTATTGGGTGTGTTCCTATTGGTTAAAAAAGGAGGTGCACTGTTCCAATTTTTTGATGAATTGGGTGGTGAGCACAGTAAATGAGATTGAGTGTATCTCAATCTTTGCAAGTAGCATGGTATTGCTCAGCTATAAAATCAGAGATTCCTCACATCCATTGCCACAAAAATCTGCAATAGCAAAAGATTAGATATAGTTCTTTCAAAATTGTTGGAATGTGTTCTATGATTCAGGAGATTGATCAAAGCAGTACCAGTTGGGCCATAAAGGACTAAAGGACTGAGCAACAAGAGTATATCGAGAACATGTTGGCTGTTGCACATGATGGCTTCAATTCCTCCAACCATGGTGGCCAGGGCAATCAATTGGAAATCTGCACATACGGAAGAAAGCTATATGTTTTCACAAAAGTGAAGCCATTTGTTTTATAGTATTTATGGTGCAGTCTTATCAACCGTATGATTAATGGCTTAAATAAATGTAGCCGCAGCAGTATCATAAATACAATTCGGACATTAGTTTATAACTTGAAGAGATATACTTGGGATTTGGGATGCTTGCTGCCCTTCGTTACTTGCTGCTTTTATATGCGTTCCAAATATATGTATGAAGTAGATCTTTAGGAATGGCAGAAAATTTGTTGTTGGAAAACGTATAAATATGTTATTGGGACTCCAAATATGAGTCAAAACACCGAATACTAAAAACACCCGTTAAGAAAAACATGTTATGCATTCAAGTATCGATGAACATATCAATGAGTTCATTATTTGAGAAAAAGAACCAGTAAATTAGATTTTTTTACACCAACCAGTAAATTAGATAAGAAAGTAAATTGGATAAGAAACAAGAGTGACATGCATTAAAAAGATTTGTTTTACCAGTCCATATCACAAAAATAGAATATTGTAAAAAAAGATGCACCAGAGTAGAATATAAAGAAAAGAATTTACAATAAGGAATAGGCTGTACATACATTTAACTACATTACAATAGCATACTACGTACATTGTCTGAGTATTACTATGACATTCATATATTATATTGTCTGAGTATTACTATGACATTCATAGCATACTACCCCCTGATTGGCTGGCATTACTAGGGCAATTAGTTTTACTATGGCATTTCATATATTTTATTTTTCCGCTTACAAGCAACCATAATAAATGAATAATTGCATACCTTCAGTTTTCTTGCTTGGAGCTGATTTTAGTCCTGCCTCATGAACTTGAGGCTTCACAATTGATATCACTTCCATTATAGGATCTTCACCTGCACACATTAGCAGTGGTTCTACTGTGTTGTAATAGTATGCTTAAGAGTCTGTGTGTTTGGTGTGTGTTATATCGACGCTTTCTTTTGAAATACCGGATTGAGGTTTAAGTGCAACTATCGTTGAGAGATAATAAATGTGTGGTCAGATGCTGGGTGGTTCGGGTTAGCTGAGGTGTGGTGGGGGTGGTACCCTTAATACGCGTTTGGTGAGTACACGTTTACAACTATCAGTGTTTTTTTTACTTTTCTTTACCTTACCTCTCTAGATTCTTCTCCTATTTTTTTTCTTACAACGAAGTTTATTAATTAAAATGACATTTGTAATTATTTTAAAATTTTATTACGCTAGAGGTTTCTGGAGTTTTCTAAAATATGTAAGATACATTAAAATATAAAGATTTTGGTGCCTGTATTATGAAAAAATGGTTACATAAAAATTAAAATGTATAAATAATTATTCCATATATTTTACGATAATTCTACATATTATTTAAAATTTAAAATATATAAGTAATATAATTAAAGGATAAGGCGTGTGGTAAAATAAAATGGAAAATTTGGTTTTGACAAAAAAACTCTCTTACAGTTAAAAACTTTCTGGAATACAGAATATTTAGAACATTTCAAATCAAAGATAGAATCGCATGTAATGAAAAAAAATTGGGAAAAATTAATTGGGGAAAAATGCTTATTTGTGACGGTTAAAAAGGAAAACTGAATTTAAAAAAAAGTTTTTGTCATGTTGTTGCTATATCGGTAAAAACGAGTTACATTTGTTGAAAGAATCACAAGATGAAAAAAAACTCCATGTTTTGGTTGAAAGTTTGAAGAAATACGAGAAAATGAAAGACCCTCCTAGGGCCTGTGCAGATCCGTATGGATTTATACTCTTTAATTTTTGACCGGTAGTAGATTTCTGGTGGTTTTTGTTACATATTATGAAAAAGAGAGAGTGGTGACCCACAGATCTGCAAGAGTTCAAGCTAACGGTGGAAGAAACAAACAGATCTGCAGTACAACCGATCTGTAAGGTTTGAGGTTTTTCCCCACTGAAAATGTTTTGCTATTGTTTGCGGGTAGAAAAAAGCGAGTAGAAGGAGTGGCGAGGTGTTTGTGCATGTAAGGGTTAGTCTTTCGTTGTGGTGTGAGAAGAAGAAACTTACCGAAAATAAAAACGTTGGAAGGTGGAAAATACGGCGTTCTTGGTTATGACCGGAGGGAGATTGTGCACCGACGGAAGGCAGCTGCTTTGAATTCTGG